ACCTTTTCACCGGAATCGAAGGAGATTACCTCGGAAACAGTGTCAGCATCAATCTTACAGTAAAGCTAATCGACATGAGGTCAAGAAAAATCCGCCGTTGTCTTTCTAGTGGAATCTACTTTTGAATCGCTTCACCCAAAATTTTCACTCGAAATGGAAGTAGGCTCAACAAACGTCAGTCCAGACGCCAAAAATGGGCTAAGAGAAGCCTGGTTTGTTTTGAATCACATCGGTCTATAGACATATTGGCGCTTAGGCTACCTAATCGAGTGTTAGAGTATTGTCGCTTAACAAGTATGACTCGGTTTCGAATCCCGTTCGTGCTGCAGATGAAACACAGTCAAGGTTGAAAATGAAGTCGTGAAGATGTAACAGCCTTTTGAGGAATAATACTTATTGGAATACAATAGAATACGATGGAATACTGATTTCTTTTATTCATATTATTGTGAAAACGTCAATTATCCAGCCTTCCAACATCTAAAAAAACCAAGGTGAAAAGTGCTTTAGCAAAGCTTCTGGGATTTCGAATGCATCAAACAGTATTTTTTCACGAGAATGAGTTTCTACTAGTCTGCATCGCGGGTGATTAAATAAGAAATCTATTTATTTCGTTCTCTGCCCCAAGAGATCATTTCATCTTATCGGCAAAACCAGAATTCGCTCCACAAGGATACATCATGTCTAGGTTGAATGGTACAGCAGAAAATAATTATCGGCCTCTGCCACCAAGAGTAAGCATTATTCACCCACCCTCGGTGCCCACTCAGGGCACCTGGGCCGCATTAGCTTGAGCGCACTTGTATACTCGGCAGCGATACGATGCGCTGCCGGCAGCAAGTCGCCGTCCGCCTTGTTCACCAGAACTAGATGCGCCATCTCTACGATGCCACGCTTCAAGCCTTGAAGTTCGTCACCACCAGCCGGCGGCAGGACAAGTACAAACATGTCGACCATGTCAGCAACAGCCGTCTCCGACTGGCCAACGCCTAAACAACAGCATGAAATCAAGTCAACGGGTTGCAATGACAAGTAAAAATCAATTAGAATCACAAATATATTGAATATATAGAGGATAAACGCGTGTAAATTAATAATATTAAGATGCAACACACCTAAGGAGTCTTGAGGAATTTTGTAATTTAGAAATTAGTGAGTATTTGAGGTAAATAAGGGATGACTATTTTTGAAAGGTCGATTTCCAAAGGCATACACAAGAAATGAAACTAAATCTCATTTTCGCGACTTAGTTCAAACAAATGTCGTCATTCTCGTTGCTACTGTATTCAGCTGTTTTAGTATGAAACTCGTTTTATAGTATCAAAGATAAGCAGATTTACGATAACCACTTGCATAAACAGTGAAATTTTCTCCATTGACAATGACTTGGCCTTAGTTCCATATGGCTATTTCCTATTATCTTTCTATTTTATCGTCAAATCGCAGTTCTAATGCCCTCCTTACAGAGATAAGAGTTGTCATATCAGCTGAGTTTACGAGTCCTGGCTAGCGACGACTTCTCTTTGCATACATTTCTTTAGCTAACTTAATGCACTACAGTAAAAGAATCTGAACATTTTTTAATAAAACAATTCTATGTAGAAAAAGGTATGAAAACGAGTGGTTTCACTTAGCAGCGAAAGATGAGTTTGTAAAAACTGTAAATGATATTAGGTTCTAGAAGCGAGATCAAACTTCATACCAGCCTATAGAAAGGAAAATGTTCACTGCTCTTATAAGTTACCGTGAACCAATTAACCCACAATCCCTAGAATTTACCAACATCGAACAAAGGTGACTTCTCATTGTAGAAGTTTACTTAGACAGA